AGCTTTCTTGAGATTCACATCAGAGGAAATACATTCTCACAGCCCTTCTTCCCACCACTTTTTGCAGTAAAGCATTAATTTACTTACCAACATTTGATTAAACTCTTAAGGTTCAACCCTAGGAGGGAGGAGGTAGCAGTGGACAAAGGATTATTGTCATTCATCATCAGCACATTTTAGTCTTCCCCTCAAGTTGCCTATGAGGGATTAGCATTTCCCTGAAAGGAGGAGGACAGAATAAATTGCATCCACCGCCAAAGAGCTGCCAGGTCCTTTCAGCTGGGGGCACATACCGGGAGCTTTTCCCATATTACTCAGCTTTAGCTCAACTTCTGGGCAGGGCCTCCATCTGAATTTCATGGGTTTCAGGGTCAGTCAAAACAGAATTGTAGGGTTGCTGAGGTCAGAGGCCACCTCTGTCAAAGGGTAGTGACCTTAACAGCGAGAGGTGGCCAGACCCCTTCCTCCCCCCACACCCCATGGCCGGGCTCTGGTGAATGCTCGGCTCACTGTGACTCCCCGCAGAGCTTTTTTCAACCTGGTAATAAAAATCCTCCTGTGACTTGGTATTTTTTTTCACGTTATTACTGACTTTCTTTGTTCCTGTTCCTCCAAATCTTGGCCCTTGATAATATGTTGGTCCACGCACTGGGGAAGGACAGGTGGGCTAGTCTGCCCTTCACGTCTATCCAGTGGATGCCTCTTGGGGTACAGGGAACACCTGGGACCCAGCTTAGAAACTGCCTGCACTAAGTGGGTACAAAAGTTTCCCAGAACTTCTGCAACTCCCTTGGAGCTCAGCAGGTTCTATTACCATGGTCAAAGTTGATTTAAAAACTGCAAAGCCGATTAGGAGATCAGGGGGATGGTGTGTGGTGGGAACAGATGTAGAAGGAGGAGGAGGACAGCGTGCTGCAGTGGAAAGCACATGATGGCCGGACCTGGGAGGAGTGTTCCTGCCTTTCTTTTTCTCTCTTTTCCCTTCCCTTCCCTTCTTTCTTTTTCTGCCTTTTTTTTTTTTTTTTGAGCCAGAATCTCCCAGACTCTGACTCTTGGGCCCGAGAGAACCTCTCCCCTCAGCCCCCTGAGTGCCAGGGACTGCCATGCAGCCCACCACATCCAGTTTTAGGAGTTTTCAAATCTCAGCTCTTCCCGCCGAAACTGTGGTCACGGGCAAGGCAAGAAACGGGTGGTTGTGAGAAGACACGATGCATCCTGTGTGTCCGGCGCACAGGAGACCCCAAGGAACTGGGCCTCGATGGCCGGCGGCAGCCCTGCTGGGTGCAGAGTCATACCACAGCCCGCGGAGGTGGCTCAGGGAAAGAATGCTGCAGCCCTCCACTTGCGATGGCCCTTCCACCTCACTACGTTGCAGTCTTCGGGTGGACACTCTGCGGTGTTTCTCAGAGGTGTGGCATGGGCCAGAGCGTTCTAGATGCCAACCCTCCTAAGGGCACAGTTTGGCAGAACCTTGGCAATCCACTCACTTCTCTCGGGTTTTATTTTTCCTTCTTAGGGGACTTAGAAATGCCAAACAGGAGCACTGCAGCAGCTGCTGGGGCCGCTTCTGTCATGGTCAGAACTCATTCCTTTTCACAATAGATCTTCAGCAACTGGTTTTCGTTCTTGAGGCATTTATGATGAGAAAGGGAGGCATGAACCTGGGGAGTCCTATTTCTCCCGCCCACCATCTCTCATCACCCACACCCCTTTCCTAGCAACAGCTCTTTCTTCAATGCTGTGGCCCACGGCTTCCGCCCCACCTACACCAGCAGCAGCAAAATATGGGGGTGCGAGGGCTGGGGGTTGGGGTGCAGGAGGAGGAATGCGGGAGCACATCAGGGAGTGGGGCTGGTGCAACACAAAGCGTGCTGACCTCCTTGGAAGAGGAGGAAGCCCCAAAGACTGTGTCCAAGCTGCGCGTGGGAGGGCTGCCAAGAAGCTGAGCAGAGAATCCCAGGTTAGAGGAGCGGGCAGGCAGCAGACTGGCAGGGCGTGGGGAGAGCCGTGCAGCGTGACTGCCAGGAGTCCTTCTTGCTCGGGCACTGGCCTGCCCCTGGCACATGGGAACCCTTTAAAAAGAAACCTGCACTTGAGTCTCCACTGGCGATGTGGGGTCCTCCTCCGCTACCCCGACAGCAGGAGGGGATGGTCTGGCTCAGTCACTCACGGCAAGGCCCCTCCCGCAATCTTGGGCAGAACCAGAGCTGGACCTCGCTTCTCTCTCACTTGAAAGCCAATAAGCACATCCATCTTTTTTGTGAAGCTTCTGGTGATAGTGATTTGCATACCCTTGCCTCCTTTCTCACTGCATTTCACAGAGCTTTCTTCTTCTTCTTCTTTTTCCACATTGGCAGTGGCGCCGAATTTTATTTAGAGATTACTAGTTCAAGCACTCTTGCCTGAACAACTCCGGTCGATATACAATGTAGTAACATCTGAGGTCTGTACACATAAGGAAAGGCTCCCAAAGGAATATCTCATCTTCAGGCAAGAGAGAAGCTAAGAGCACATGCTGCAGGAGTGGCCCACTGGCTGGGTTCATGTGGCTCACACACACCTGACAAACAGAAACCCGAACAGCAAACTAGCTGTTTACACACACTCTGGCTTAGTGCATTCTTCCTCCTGAAACACCTCCTCAGCTCAGAAAAGGTGTTGTGACACTGAGAGCTTTCTTCCCGGATGCCAGGAGACCTGTAGCGCCCTCTCCGTGTCCCCTGCCCTGGAACAAAGGGTGCATTTATGCTCCCCAGAGTTTAATGTTTTAAACATCTTGCAAGTCTGCTTTTATAAGTGAGAGGTTGGGACAAACACTGTCCCACAGGGCAGGGGGCTCCATCTTTGTTGTCATTCTCGAGGCTCACTCTGCGTGTGACATGTTGGCAGACTTGACCTGAAAGCAAGTATTTAGGCCACTTCTGAAGGGGCTTCTGTCCAGAGTGGTGGTAGGGGTGCCTTGCAGAGGAGGGTGGGCTTTTGTGTGGGTGGCACAGGGGACTGGCCAAGGCCTGCGTCCTGGCGCCAGGTGGTGGAGCCGGCGCCTTCTCCCCGAAGCTGCCTCCCTGCCCGAGCTGCCGCCCAGCTGCCAGTGCCGCCCATTTCTTCTTCTCCCTAGCTGTCTGCCCTCACCCAGCCCCGCTGGCCCCAGTCCATCAGGCCACAGACCGTAATTCAGAATGTCAGAGCCATGGGCGTGCCGGCTTGGGGTCCAGGGAGGGGAGGTGACCCGTGCAAGGTCACGTGACAGGGAGCCAGGGCTCTTCCCATGCCTCGAGCCTCCCGCCCTGCCAGGCGGGGCTCACTCAGTGGCCGAGGCTTTGCAGGCTCCTGGGCCCCCGTCCTCTCTCCCTCCAGGCCCCGATAAAGGACACAGCAGGACACGTGCTGGGGACACCACAGGCTGCAACGTGGGTGAGCATCCTGGCTGCCGCTCCTGACTTCAGCCAGTCTCAAGCTGGCAGAGCCCTTTCAGAGCAAGGCCTCGGAGGGGACAGCTCCGTCACTGCCAGCTCCTCACCTGTTCTTCCCCTGACGAGTGCCTGGCCGTGCTCCCAGCTGCCAACCTTGCCATCCCCATTCTGGGGACTGGTGAGGGACCGGCGCAGGAGAGAGGTGCCGTGCAGCCACGTGCTCAGGCACCTGCTGCCTTTCCTGTCCTGAAGCTGAAGCTTCTAGGACAACTGGGAACCCAGAGTGTGTGCGGCCCAAGGAGGAAGCACTGCTTGACCGCTGTCCTCCAGCTCCCGACGCCTTCCTGTCCACAGTGCTGGCGACCCACAGCTCTCGGCTGTGCCGGGAAGGCGCAGGCCCGCGGTCCCTGAGAGGCCCCAGAGCGAGCTGTTCGCGTGGCCTCGCGCCTGTTATCTGAGACAGCGTTTGCCACAAGAGGGGTGCGTTTAATGAGCTCGTGGATGTTCCTTGTAAATGGGTGTTGGTTATTATGTGTTCCTGCCAGGGGGCTAGAGAATTAGGTGATGACTATTTTTGTATTCAGTAAGTCAAGAGTCAGACTTACAACACTCTTTTCACCGGCGGAGCACTAGCTTTGAATGTAAGAGACCAGCAGGGCTGGCCATCCTCGGGTTAATTTTACACAGTGAGTAAATCTGAAATTTTACTCTTCTCCCTCGCCTAATATAAAGCCAACAATGGATCGTGGACAAAAGAGAAAACTAATTTACCATCAGAGAGTGAAATCCAATATCTACATTTTTTTCTGTAAAACAACATGGCTAAATATATTTAAGGGGATGCTATATATAATATATAAATAATTTTCATCTTAAAATCATTTTCCAGTATAAATATGTTATGTAATGGTAAGTCAGAGGTTAGCTTTAAAAATAAATCTTTCAAAACGCGAATTGAGTTGTCAGTTCCTCATGCCTTTGGGTTAATGGAGTCATCACTGTCATTTCTGGAAATCTGTGTCCCTGAATTTCTCTCTCTCCTAGATTCTTATTGTTTGGGGAAAACACCGTCATTTTATTTCTATATCCCAAACCTTTCAGCCACAGAATCAAAATACAGTGCTGGAGAAGAATTTAATGCTTGTTAAGTATTCAGTAATGTCACCATTCTGTTCAGAAGTTTATTAGCATTGAAAGCACTGGACTTGAAATAGCTTCACTCCCAGTGGTCATCAAAGCACAATGAACTAGGTTCCAGGGGATCTCTTCATGATGCTGCTGTGGGAGAAAACTACTCCTGGCAAGAGTGGAAAGGCCTCTGCCTTTTGCTGGCACCAGGCACTATACAAACTCAGGATGGGACAGGTCCCTTAAACCTTAGCCAGGCTGGAGGTACAGTGCTGCCTCGTCATCTGTCCAAACAGGACTGTGGCCTTTCCAAATTGTAATGATCATTGTGTGACAAGATGGTTTTCTCCTGCCTACTTAAACCATAAGTATTTAAGAATGTGATTTATATTACATACACACATGTCATATCAAATGCAAAGTCCAAAGGAAGAAAGCAAGTCATTTCAATACTTTTTATTTGAGTGTGAAACCATTCATATCTTGCACAACTGTACAGATAAAACTATTTCCATTTTAGCTGTAGACATGATTATCACACTGAGCGGTGTGATCAAAGATTTTATTTACAGAACACTTGCTAAAATATCCGATGTCATATTTCCATTTATTTCTTACCCATAGGGTAATAGGTCCACCATAATTGCTTGGTGCATTTTATAATACAGAAAGAAAGCCTATGTTAATCTCTAACAAACCTCACAAATTACTATAAATCTGACAGAAAAATGCCTACGAAAAAAAATTTTTCCAAAAGTACAACACATTTTTTATTTCCACACATACACAGTATAGTATAGGCTCAAAGGCACAGCTTTGAATTTGTTTTCTATCAAAGTGTCGGAAATTATTATAGTCTTATGAAGAAACTATGACAGCTGTTTTCACACTTGGTGCGTGCTAAGTTAAAGTTTGGTCCAAACAGCTTCAGAACGTTAACAGCAGAGCCGAGTGTGATACTCAAGGCCATAAATCACATTCTCACAGAACTTTGGGAAACCCTCTCCTGCCTTTTGCTGACACTAAGCTTTGTGCAAATTCAGGACAAATCCTTGTACATAGAAGAACCGGTCCCCTACAGACCTCGATCCACTTAAGGCAACACAGAGCAGGCCTCTTCCTCTCCTCAGACAGCGCTCACATTCTGGGACCTGAGCAGCGCAGGGGACTGAGCTAGGCCCTGACACCTCCCTCAGCTCTGGCGCTCCAGGAAGCCGTGATGACGCCACTGGGAGGAGGGGGATGACAGGTGGCAAGGCAGCTGTCCTTGGCGAATGACGTGCCCGTGCAAGAACACAACCCAGACTCCCTCTCCAGGATCCGTCCTTCAAGACTAAAGAGCTTCGCAGTGTCAGCAGGAAAATAAGTAGCCCACAGGAAGGGGTCGCCCACAGGAAGGGGTCACCCACACCAAGCAGAGTCGGGGGAACAGCGGGAAAAGGCACGGTCAGCCTGCCCCGCGAGTGCTCTAGAGAAACAGCCAAGGGACCCTGGACCCCTGACTTCGTAAGACCTGCTCTGAACTAACATTTATTCCTCCCGTACTGAATCTCTTCCTGCTCACAAGGACAGTGGGCCTAGGACCAGCCCACCAGCTATGATAGAAAGAGAGAGAGAGAGAGTCTTCCGGAGGGTGGGTATTGGGCTTATTATTATTATTAATTATTAATATTAAATATGGATTCCTATGACAGCAGTCACTTGGCCCATCCTGTGGAGGCTTCTCCATTGATGTAAGCGAAGCCAGGAAAGTGTTGCATGTGCTCATACTCGGAGTTCCTGCGCGTGCTCAGGGGCGTGTACATGTCGCTAGAGTTTCCATACCTCGTGGAGTGCACAGGTGGGCTCGCGTAACACGTGTTGGCTGTGGGCACCTCTGGCCACCGGGGAGTGACTGCGGTGGGGTGCAGCCTGGGGGTGCTGCTCATCAGACAAGGCTCCATCCGGGAAGTGGAGCTATTGAAAGGGTACTTGGTAAGGGGAAAGAAATTCCACAAAGGCAAAATTAGCTCGAGGTTGCACACATGTAACACCAGTCATGCTCACAGTTTAATGCAACTTTCTCACGGCACTATTCACTAGAGCTGACGGAGTCAGCCAGCGTCTGTAAGGCTGAAGAGGAGAAATGCCAGCATCTGGCCTTGGGCTCCTCATCTGGAAATCCTGGGACGTCACACCCAGAAGGAGGAAAACCCCACTGGGAACACCAGAGTGTGTGTGCATGTGTGTGCGTGCGTGCGTGTGCTAATAACTGAGCCCAGATGAACATGGATGTACGGCTGCATGTTGTAATGCTGTGAGTTTTGTCAGTGGTTATGGAGGCGTGGGAGGTCCCACTCCATCAACCCAAAAGAACAATCTGCCAAGTAAAACACAATGATGTTATTAAAAATAGCATTTTACAGTTGAATTCCATTGTGAACTGCAGCCTAAAAGCAGGCTTTTGAAGAGAAAGCAAATCAACAGCTTCAACAATGATTATTAGTGCCTATCATTTAGAGAACCGCTCTCTTTTCGGGCCTGGAAGATGTGTGAGTGGGAAATGCAAGATGGCTGGGCTTGGCGTGGCCGGAGAGGGTGTGGACAGGTGTGAGGGGCTGCACAGAGGGGAAGCGCTGGAGAGGAGGAGGAGGAAGACACGGCCTCAGAAGCAGCTTCCTTCACGTTCTTCAGCGTTACCAAGACAGCTATGCAAATGAGCCCCTTTCAGCTCCCGGGGAAGGAGGGGAGGGGCCAGTTCCCTGGGCTCCTCCTGCACTGCTGGCTGGTGGTCAGCACCGAGATGTCCTTGCTGTGCCCTGTGCCGGAGCAGAGCGAGGCCACCCCAGTGGAACGGGAGCCACTCGGCAAGGCCTGGGGGCCGTGAGGAGGAGGAGAGTGTGCGCCTGCCTGCGGAGCCTCCTGCTCCCCATCTGTCCCGCCCGCGCCCGCCAACAGTTGCAGAGTGGAGCCCCAGGGCGTGGGTGGGAGGCTCCTCCCTGGAGGGAGGCCGACGGTGGGGGAAGGGCTGGCAACTACAATGGCTGCTCCGGGTGGTGCACACCCACGGGCAGGTGGGGAGGCGCCTAGGCCTGAGGCCTCCGAGGGGAGCTCAAGCAGAGGATCCAGACCGAGTGCCCCCCAGCAGGACACCGCAAGGGACAGCCACCCCAGGGAAAAGAGCAGTCAGGAAAGGGAGAAGGCGTAGGTGTCTGAGAACTCAAGGGAGAAGCACAGGGCTGTTGCCAAGGAGACTCCAGACAGCTCGCCAAGGCTTTCATAACCTCACAGACCAGGAAGGCCAGAGTGGGCCCGCATGCTGCGCTGCGCTGGGCGGGGTGGTGCCCTCAGAAGCCTCCACCTCGAAGACCCTGGGCCCTGCCAGGGAAACAGAGTCGGGGCACTGAGCAGGCAACCGAGATCTCAGCACAAAGTGTCACCAGTGGCCCTTCACTTTCAGCGCGGTTGTGGCCCCGTCCCTGCCTGGTGCTCTGGGTGAGGCCCCCGCCTCACTGCCACCCGAGACCTCCCTCCTGGTCCTGTGACGCTCTGAGCTCACCCTGACCGTCCCCTCTGCCTGGAACCCTTCCAGGAGCCCCTGCCCCAGCTCCTGGCCCCGTGGAGCCAACGCCACCTCTTCTGGATGCCCCATTCCACTCTCCATCTCTGGGGTCAGGGTCTCGCCACCACTCTGTTTGGCACCCGAGTCTCTCCCAGCAGGGCTCTGCCGTGCACACGACATTCCCAACACTGCACACGGCGCCTAGCAGGCACTGAAGCGTATTTGGCAAATGGACACTGGGACGTTAACACTGGCAAGACACTTAGGGACCATGCAGTCCAACCTCTTACTGCAGAGATGAGAAAAACGAGGGCCCAAGCTCAAAGTCACACAGCAAGGGCATAAAGACCCAGTCCCGGGGTATCAGCCCCTGAGGGACGCTGGCCTGCCACTCCCAGATCACGAGGGAGGAGGGCACTGCCACCCACGAAACTCCAGTCTTCCATCTCCTCCTTCACCAAGTTCTCTCCTCCCAGCTGCACAGCCTGGGCCTGGGCCTTGTGACCTGGAGGCCGACCCTCCCTGGCCTGGCTGGGAGCAGTAAACGTCACAGGGTGGACGTGGCACTCCTTCCCCCAGAGCTCAAGAGAGTGGCGTTTTGTGCCTCACCGGGGACCCTCGACGCAGCTGTGCCCCAGAGGTTGTTAGAGATCAAAAGAGCAATTGGCTGGAAATGAGAGGCTCAAAATATCTCCAGTGACAATACAGATTCTGTTACCGCCAAATCCGGCATGGAAAATTCTGTCTTGCTCTGTCAGCTAATTGCAAATGAGTCAGTGACTCGCTTTCCCTTCGGTGAAGGGACCATTGAGAGCCTGCTGCCCTGGGCTCGTGACTACGGGGCCAGGGCCGGCAGAGCCTCTGCTGCAGGCCTGCGGGACAGCCTCACCTCTCGTACTTCACCTATGGTTTCCCGCAAGGTCCTGTGCACGTGGGCCCCAACAAGGCTGGGTCTTGAGAGCTCCACCCAGAATAGAGGCTTTCTGTGGAGGTCCCCCAGCAGGAAGTCACCATTCCCTGGATCAGATCACAAGCTGGGTCAAATCAACTGATAAAGGCCAGTTACCACCCTGGAGAGGGGCGCGTGCAGGGTGCCTGTGAGCACGTGTGTGTGCGCATGTGCACAAGGGTGTTTAGTCAAAGGCCCCCTCGGATGGCAGTGGCGCAAGTCCCTCTCGGCTGTGACTGACTCTTGGCCTCTTTGGAACTGCCTTAGGAAGTCTATTTTGGGAAAAGGACTCCCACACCAGGGGCCAACTTTCCTACACTTGGAGAGGGAAGAATGAGTCCTTTATCCCTGCCCCTTCCCAAATGCGCTGCTACTTGAGCGAGGGGTGAAAGGTGGCTGAGTCCAGAGCACAAACTGTTTTCCTATGAAAGGCGGCTCTCAGGGTGCTGCCAGGGCCGCCCCCGGGCTGGCTTCCTCCTGGCTGCTTCTGGGAGAGGATGTGTCTCCCCTGAACCCTGCCAGGCAGCCCATGTCTGCTGAGCTTTCAGGGTCAGGACTCACTGAGCGAGTGAGCGCGGAACACCTGGAACTCCTTCGTATCAGTTAGTGAAACACAGGAGCTGTGGATGCCCTTCCTCTCAGAAGCAGAGGATCCCGTGGTCCCTTAGTGACAACAGGAAGAGCTTCATGGCTGACCCCGTGGGTTCCCCTCCATTAAAAAGGCAAGAGAGTTGGAGTCAAGAAGAGGGAAACAACCTGCTTGAGGTCATGCAGCGACTTAGTACCAGGATAAGGGTTCATCCATCCATTCATTCATTCTGTGGTGAACACTTAAGATGCACCCACTAAGGGTCAAGCTCTGTGCTAGGCCAGACAAGCCCTTACACTGGTCCTGGCCACACACAGCCAGTACAGAGCGGGGGTCAGACAGTAACCACAGAATTCCATGAAAGGCAATAGTATTATAACTGTCACAAAGGATGATAATATATGCAAGTAGTGTCAACTCCGAGCCAGGTCCTGTTCTAACGTTCATTAACTTGCTTGGCCCTACAGCAGCCCTATGGTTTTTTTTTTTTGGTACCGGGGATCGAACTCGGGTCCTTGCTCTTGTGAGGCAGGCGATGGAACCACTGGGCTAAAGCCCCGGCCCAACCCTATGAAATAAATACTGTAATTACCCCATTTTTCAGATGAGGAAATTGAGCCACAGGATGTGAGGGCGACCTGCCTGCAACCTCTGTCACCCCATTGATCGCCAGGGTTGACTCGGCTGATCTGGCTGGCTAGGCAGGGGTCCCCTTCCTCCCTCAGCGCCCCACGGGCATCCCTCCCAAAGCTGCGCGCTCTGGCAAAGAGGACAACCACCCCCGACAGAGGAGGCCCCTTTCCTCGGTCAAGGGCATTTGAGTAGCTGCGCTCCCCTGCTAGACCCTCCAAACAGCTCTCAAGGAAACTGCCACAGGACCCATCAGAGGCAGAGCTGGGATTTGAACCCAGGGATCCTGGCTCTACACCCATAGATCTTGCAACTTGACTGCTTTTTTTTCCTCTTTGGCCCAAAAGGCCACCCTGAACTAGAGTGACCTAAGCAAACTTTGTAGCACCAGCTGGCACCGGGCTGGTTTAGGCCAGGCAGCTAGAGGTTCTGGGAGAGGTGGTAATTGGCTGGGAGGGCTAGGCCTGGGCCATGTAGAGGAAAAATAGGAACAGCTTTCTGTCCATGCTGATTATATTCCTGGCCATACGGAGTCTAGTTGATCAAAGGGCACCTGAAGCCTAGGGCACCAGTTCACATTCGTGGCTGCTGGATTCCATGAGCGTGTATTGAATGAGGCTTAGAAATATTCGGAAGCCTTGTACGTGGTCTAGTTTGCTTTCTTTTTGGGCAGACAGGGGCAGGGGGGATCCAGGAAGGGGCAGCTGACATCACCTTGTTCATTTCCTCTGATATGAACAGGTACTGCACAGCAGCAAAAAGGGTGTTTTCTGAAATAATTCCAACCTTACACTGTGAAGCCTCATGCATCTGGACGCTAATTTAGATGTGAGGAGAATCCATGCAGGATGGGAAGATTTACCTTTGTATTACCCAGAAGGAAGCATGCAAGGTGCAAACAAGTAGTATAAACAAGGGTGCACACACGCTCTATGTCAGAAAACAACTTCAAGTGAATTTGAGCCTATCAATGCTGAGATGCATATGATGCTACAACCAACAGATGTGTGGATCCAGTTTTGTGGCTGTTGTGGTTTTGTTTTTGTTTTTAGCAGTGCTGGTGATCAAACCCAGGGCCTCATACACTAGGCAGACCCTGTACTATGGAGCTGCACCCCAAGCCACTCTGGACTGGTTCTTTAAGGTAAATCCAGCAGACATTCACTAGCAGAAGTTAGTTTCGGAGACTCTGATGCTGGTGAACAAGTGCTTTCAATAACTACATGACATAACTACTTTTTCTTCCATTCAGAGCCCCCACCCCTGGGCTGAGGCAGCAACACGTGATACACACACATATGCAGCACTGGGAAGCCTGACCTCAGGTCTGGAGAGCTGAACAGTCAGCCCTGGAGTGCAGCTTCCTCTGCATGCTCAGCCTTAAACCAAAGAGCTGATAAGGGAGGAAACAGGGATCTGGGAGCAGGTGCTGCTTCTCCTCAGAAACCTGAAACCCCCTGAAACTTCCTAGCTGCTAGCCGGGCCTCTTGTATCGACCCTGCACCCCCAAAGCACGAAGTTCCAGGGCCGCTGGTTTGGGGCTGGGGTTGAGAGCTAGGGATCTGGCATCTGGATGGGGAGCGAGGGCCACACTACTTTCTGAGACTGGGGGAGGGTGTTGCCTTCCTTAGCTTGCTCCGCGAACTGAGTGGGTCCATGTATTCCAAAGTGGCCAGAACAGCGCTCACTGCATAAATCTTAATGAAAGACAAAAGCAAAGGCTGCTCTGTCCGTCTACCGGCCTTGCTCAGCAGAGGTGCCATGTGATAAACTGACTTCTCTCGCTGCCGTGCCCGATGGAGGAGACTAGGGCACGGGCCTTGAGTGCAGGGCGTGCATGTGCTGGGGGTGGGGTGCCGCAGTCACGGACGGGCGCAGGGCTGTTCTATTCCCCCAGCCACCCTGTGACAGTGGTGCCTTGGGAATGCTTGTGGCTTCCAGAGTGGACGAGGCAGGCCTGTCTTTGCTCACTGGGGTCTGCAAGGCCCCTGAGGAGATCTGGCTTCTTTTCATGACAATGGCTTCAAAAGCATTGCCCCAGAAAACTAGCTCCTGAAATTTCCCGGGGAGGTGGTGAGGGGAGGAGGGAAGATGGTGGTGGAGCTGCGGCTTGGCCTTGCTGTCTCCCACTGTGGGCGTGGTCTGCCTCCTGCCACTGTGACCCCAGGACAGGGAGCGGGCCTTGCACGCAGTGGGCACCCAGCAGCCAGGTGAGGGACGGGTGGATGAATGAATGAGCGGCCTCTGGTGTGCTGAGCGGGACCAGGCTGTGGAACAGTTCTCAGTCACAGTAGCTGTCGGTGAGGAGCGAGGACTCTGCTCCCACAAGAGGCAGCACCTGAGGAGCTGGCGTCTCCGTGTGACGCACTCACAGACCCATAATGATACCCCAGGTGATGATTTAGCGGCCTCAGCTTCTTGGCTGTCTGGGGACTAGAGTAGGCTCCCCTTGGGACTGCAGATGGAAACCAAAACACATGCCTGATTGCCCTGAGCACCCTTATTGTGGATACTCTCCACAGGGCTCCCCAGTGGGTCCGTGTGCTGACTGACAGCCGGTGTGACTGGCCTTGTCCTGCCCACCGCAGGTGCCAGTGTCCATGCTGCTGTCCTGTGCCCTGGGCACACGCACTGTGTGTGGGGAGTGCGGTGCACAGAGCCTGGCACCTGCAAGTGCTCAGGCAAAGTTACCTGGTCTTCCTGAGGGGGGGCAGGCCCTGTGACCTGGGGGACAGGTTTAATCTTTGCCTTCAGGGAGCTCAGGATCTCCTGCATCAGACAGGAAAGTCGCTGACAACAGGAGGTGAGGGAGGAAGGGCAGAGTGGCATTTCACAACGTCCTGGGGGGAAGGAAGGGGCACTGCCAGGAAATGCCACAAGGACTGAGGATGCTTGTCCTGAACAACGAGCGGAAGAGACTTGTAGTCGTGGGGAACACTGCAAAGATGCAGGAAAAGTGGGTGCATGCGGGGCCACCCCAAATGGGCCGGCTCAGCTGAGGCAGGGACCGAGGTGGGAACCAAGGAGGTGCGTGGCCTGGGAGGCCATCATGAGAGGACTCCTCTGGTTAAGATGAAGTGTGGGCTGGACTGACAAGGATCGGGCTGAGGAGATGCCCCCGAGGTCCTGGTCCTGCCCGACGGGGCTTTGTGAGCGGGGCAGGAACAGAGATCAGAGCCCCACTGTGAGGGCGGCTGCTCAGAAAGGGCCCCTCTGAGATGCTGCCCTTTGTCAGGTCAGAGGGAGGAGGACACCACAGGGAACAAAGGCTAAGCACCGGGTGGGTGCGCGCAGAGCGACACTGACGGCGCCATACTCTCCATGGGGACACAGCTCGCACACGCAGTCTGCAGAAGGCGCCTGTGGGCTGTGCCGAGCCGACCAGACCGGGTCCCAAGCACACCGAGCTCTGGGCCGCCACTCACCTGGGCAGAGCTCCGGTGGTATGCAGAGTAATGGAGTGGGCCGGAGAGGGCCGTGTCGTGGGCCAGGGCCGGGTACTGGCTCTGCATCGGGTGTGGGTGCTGGTTGCCATAGCTCCCATAGTTATAGCTTCCGGTGTACCTGCAAGGTAGAGCGCGAGTCAGAGCAGGGAGGACAAATGGGTTCGATACCCTCAAGAACCAGCCCCGTGGACTTTTTTGTCTTTTTGTTCTTTCTCTCTTTTTCCTGCTCATTTCTTTTCGCTTTGGGTGGCCACCATCTCCATTCTGCGGCCTGGTTCTACAGTGAAAACCCCAGGCCGACTTCCCCTCTCCTCAGGTCTCCTGGCGAGTGCTCAGGCAGTGGAGCCCGGCCCTGAGCAGAACACACCTTGTGAGGAGACACAACTTCTCCCCCGCTGCCGGCTCCCTGGCCCACCTCACATCCCAGGACCATCACACAGGGAAAAAGGAAAGAAGCTGCTTTGGATTTGTGTTCCTCTATTCCTCAGGCCTCTGCTTGGCCACCATGGGCAGGGATGTGTGTACCTTCACGGGCCCCTCCTGGGGGAGGCCTGAGGCAAGGCCTGCTGGTGACCTCGGCTGCCCACAGCCCCATTTCCCACACGGACAGAGCTCCTGTACAGGGTCATCCTGGGCATCATCGCTGCGTGTGGAGACACTCAATAGGCAGCATGGCACTTCTGCATCCACACAGATTGACTGTCTTCCTGCCATGCCTAAGGTTCACAGACTCCCTGCCCCGGACACTTAGAGCCAAGCCTAAATGCATGGGAAGTACCCTAAACGGCCCCAGAGGGCAGAATGGCTGCCCTGTGGCCTGTGCCCACCTCAGGGTGTCCACCTGGCTGTCCTCGGCCAGGCCAGCTGTTCCACACACACCTCAGGTCTTCTTCAGTCGGGAGCGCTCCTCAGATCCCCACTCATGACACCCTGCACAGTGAGCGTCTTTTGATAAAGACTGCACCATGGCTAAAGGCTGCTGTGGCTTGGGCAACCTGTTATATGGTCTATATGTGGTTCACTCATAACAGCAGCGTCACTGCCCATGTGTGACAAAAGATGTGGGCAAAACAAAAGATGTGTTTATTTAGGGGACAGAGCCCTGCTGCAGTCGGCAGGGACCCCGTGGCTGGAGAGTAAGCGCAGCCCTCCAGGGACGCTGGCTGCAGGTGAGGGGCCCACCGCTAAGTGGTCAGGAGAGACCTGGAGCCACTGGCCAGGAGGCCTTGTGAGGCTCCCAGAGGCCCAAGAGGGCACAGGCTTGGAGGGAGACCTGGCCCTTCCGGGCCACCATGCATCACCTGGGAGACCCCGGAAAACTGAAGTTCATCGACCGAGTCGAGTCTCAGGTTCCTCATCACTAGCACCTCCTGCCTGTGTCACCAGGCTGTGGCAGGGACCACAGGAGACCAAGGGGCGGCACCCTTCCAAGTGGAGCCCTCCTTAAAGCAAACTTCATGCAGGCAGCATCCTGGCAGGGTCACCTACCCATGCTCCTCTCTGTGGGGGTAAACTGGTATCCGGTGTGCGACGGAGGAGGCGGGCACATGAGTGCTCCGCATGCAGGGCAGCTGTTGGGAGTTTTCTGCCGGAGACCCAGCAGCCGTCGTCACTGTGTATGTCAGAGACCACGTGTAGGACTGCATTGCACCTGCGGAGACAAACGGAGAGGCTCTGCTCACTAGCAGTTTTCCTAGAAGACTTCAGGTCGCCCAGGCAGGCCCTGAAAATTAACTTTCGACACAAAACCGAACAGGTGTTAAGAGCCCCACAGACTGATCTGAGCAAGCCTAAGTGGATTATGGGCCTGGCCTGCCCAGGTCCTTGGGAAGATGATTAGACAGCGGCCCGGACTGTGACTGAGTCCATACCTATGAGTAATTCCATTGATTTTTTTTTTAATTGGACATCTTGAAAGTGCTAAAGATGGCGGGGGGGGGGCACTTGACAAAATTAAGTGTCCAAGATGCTTAGAATTTTATAGGATGGTTAGAATTTTTAAAAAGAGAAGATAAGTTTTTTTTTTCCCATTACCGGTGATGGAACTCAGGACCTTGCGCTTGCGAGGCAGGCTGCAGAACCACTGAGCTAAATCCCTAGCCCAGGAGAAGATAATTTAACAGCAATAATAAACTTTGATCAAACAGTTTAATTTCTTTCTCTCTTCTTTTTTTTTCTTTTTCTTTCTTTGTTTCTCTCTTCCT